AGGGAGAACTGTTTGTTTAATTATTATGTAATTCTAAATATACGTCATAAAAAGTAACCAAAGAATGTTTGAAATGGCAACATCATTTTATTTGTTTACAGTAAAAATACGCGTAAACAATTAATTAAGCTTATTAATTTCTTCTAGCATTTACTATTTTACATTATTTCTATAATATAAAACATATTAAATTTATGTTTTAGTCAGCCAGAAAAGGTATTATTTCATGTATGAAATAATAATTGTAAGATAAACTAAATAATTGTTACCTTGTCTGACCTAGTTGTAAAATTTTATGCAGTGTATTATTAAAACGAATATATATATATACAGAATAGAATTGCCACACATACTAACGTTATCAACATTAATCATTATACAATATCATCACGATTAAAAACGTGTTAAATTTACTTTTCAAGATGCTGTAAATAAGATAACAATTGCATGGACCTTACAAAATCTACCTCTATTAATAATACTGTTAGAAGAAAATTTTCGCTATTTTTTGATAAAGACATGCGAATAGGTAACTGTACAATTTCTTGCTCTATTTTCATAAGTTTCGATTATTTTTCGATAGAATCATGTTGATCGTTGTTAGATACTTTTTCATGATTATGTCGCCTACGATAGAATATCGTTTTTTCTCTATATTCTCCCATCTTCGCACTGTTCTTCCTCTTTACCTCTCTCTCGATCCCTACTAGTCTTTTTTTCTTTCGTTCCCTCTTTCTCGCCGTACACGTATAGATGTATATGTGCACGACTAGCGGTACTTTACCCGTAAATGTACAAGATACCGTACGATATTTCCCTTTGGAATTTATCGTTCTTTACGCAACGGTTGATCCCTCATAATCATAGTACAAAATCAAAATATTTTCTATTTCACAAGATAGAGCAAAAACCCTGGTGAATCATTGTGTAAGATTGTTGTATATGTACTTGGAACGTTTTAAGTAGATGAATAACAATTTCTAAATGAATATTTCAACTAATGCTAATTATTATTTGTTAATCAACGTATTTCGATTGACGTTTCGTTCTTTGTACAATCATTTAGGGGAACTCGAGACTAAGCACATAACTAGGAAAATAATAAATTGAAAAATTGATTATTCGAAGCAATAACGTTTATACGTTAATTGAAATTACGTTTTTGGAACGATAAGCAGCGAGTAATATAATTAATGCGTACTATGCGTGTAGTTATAGTGTAGTGGCAAAATATGGATAGGGAAACTCAGGACATAATTTGTAAAACTTTAATCATTTGAATGCAGGAACAATTATATTTCCATGTTTATATGTTTATAAACATGTTCTTTTATGTATAGGTATTAGATTCTACATAACAACGAAATTTGATATAATTGTTATTTAAAAATGTTCATTGTCACAATAGAAATTTCTTTCGGTTCTTCAAGTTTGAAAACACTAGTTAATACTGCAAATTATTTTGTCAATGTCGACACGACACTACTGATAGTTTCATTACCACCAGTAGATAATTCATGTAAATGGCTGGAATTAAAAGCTTCATCATGATTCTTCCATTCACTCACTATTTTTAAAATAAATGCTTCTGAATTTTTTGAAGACTCATTAAACAATTTTTCAACAATGATAGTAATTTTATCTATGAGTCGACAAATCACTCTCAATTACATGATCAGATTTCTTTCTTATCACTATTTAAAAGAAGGATTTTATGGGCAGATTACACGTAGTTATTGAAAATCCTATTAATAGGTAAAGTTTTGATAACGAGAATAATTATGGTCATGAATGAAATTTCAAAATAGAAAATGCAGAATTCAAAACATAAAACTCAAAATTAGAAATTCATAATTCAAAATGGCGAAACACCCGATTTACAAATATCTTCATGTTACATGAAAACAATGAAGGATTGAAGGATTTTCCGTGACTCGAAGTTTGTAGCCTAAAATTTTGCAAAACAATGTTTAGTGTCATATCCTGTAATTTTGAAAAATTCCATGCTTCGATGTCGCTAAAATTCTGAAAACTGGTTGTTTTTAGATAAAAACAATGTTTGATGATCTAACTCAGCCCTCACACAATTATAAAAGAATGAAAAAAGCACTTACGAGCTTATTTAATAAAGTTAATCTTACATACATATTACATTTTTAATAAACTTATTTGAAAATATAAAAATATATAACGAGTCACGTTCGAATTTTATCTTGTATAATGAACAATTGCTTCACCAATTATGAATTAATTCACAAATTAATTCATACGTAAGGGTTCTCTATTAGTAACGCAAAAAATGACATTACAGTGGTAAACCATTTTTCAAAAAATTTTCTATTTCAACTGGAAGTCACTAAAAATTCTTTTCGCAAACAATTTTTTTACCTAAAAATATTTTGCCGCGAAATTTTTTGCCTTGAACTTCGAATCGTGGAAAATCCTTCTGGCAAAGATTGTTTTTATGTAAAGTGAAGCTTTTTACACAATTTCAGCCAAATCAGGTGTAACTGGTTTTCGAAAGTACACCCTCTAAAATTAAAAAATAATTATCGACCAATGTTTTGGCAAGGTATCACTGGACTACGTACATGATCAAAATGAGTTGTGTCATTAAACATCACTGTATCAATCTTAATATCCACTACAAAATTCAAGGCAAAAGATTTATACTTATATAAAAAAAAAATAGTTTGTCACTATTCGACAACTCTGACATTATTCAAGTCGTATGCAAAATATATTTCCTATTATTATAAC